GAGGCCAATCTAAGAATCCCTTTGACCCGCCTTCTCATACAAAATGAAAGGTACTCAAATATAAATCTATAAGAGAGTCTTCGAAACCCTCCTTTTCTTCATATCCTGTGTTTTGCCTTTATAGTGAGATTGAAATGCATATAACATATTTAGGTCATTATTTATGATTTTAGAAGCATTTCAGGATGTTGAAGTCAGCTAGCTAGTCTTATCCGAGTTTTAACACTTTCCTTTTTATACTTATCCCTAACTGCGCTCTGTTGACTTTTTATTCAGGACTCATGGAGGCCTGTAAGATGGACAATGTCGATCGTCTCCGCTTACTGTTGCCGCCCCGACCTAGCGCCACTTGCAGCCTACTCAACTATGCCAACCACAATATCCATTCTCCATCGCCGTTTGCAAAATTTCGCACTGTACACTCGCCTATTAGGAACGATGATGAGCGCTTCCCTCATAGTTGCTGTGGTAGCCCCAGGTACACTGCATATAATCGACACCGATACCCTCCTCATCCATGCTATTCACACCACACTCCTTCCCTTGATCATCGTCGTACCCACCAGCATCCAGAGGGCGGCCATGCAAAGGTCAGCTTGGCGCGAAAACACCTAAAATCTCGAAGCCAGGGTCAACCTGTGAATGCTTCTTTCTCACGACTATCTAGATCCTACTACTCATGTATTGAGCTATCAGGCCCCAATAGTGGGCCCTTTGGCGAATCAGAATTGAATCATTCCAGTTCAAAGAATAAGCTTGTTTTTGAACCGGGCAATGATATCTGCTTATCCGAGGGCAGTGGCCAGCTTCCGGCGCTTCATTCTAGCTCAAATGAAGTAAGCTTCATCACTCTCCATGTCACCCTTTCTGCTTTTATGTTCCTATTTTTGTGCCGTTTTATTCTTTATTTCCTTTTAGTAATTTTTTATTATTTTGGCACTGAATTATGTATTAATGTTCTATGGTTTTAGGGGCTCCTGATGATTTATCTTGGCGATTTTTTCGCCTTACTATCTAAATGAATGTCTATTGTAAATTATTTACAGAAAAATTGGTCTAGGAACGAAAAGGTTCAGTGCTTGTCTCCCTCCTCTCAATATAATCTTACTGGCATTTTTATTTATCTCATTATCCTTCCTCCTTTAAAATGTGAAAAAATTATTGTCTTTACCTAGGGTTGCCTCATACTTGGATTGTTGTTTTGGCTAAGGCCTTTCTCAGTAAATTGTTTCTGGCCAATGGAATGCAAGATGACTTAAACTTTTCAGACGCTACACTATAAGTATTTCGGTTTCATTAACTATTTGGATTAAGAATTTTCGCCTGGCCCTCGCAGTTTCAGAGGAAACCGGACTGAGCTTTCGTTCATACTATGATGGATACCACCAGAACTGGAGCTCATTCTTGTACAAGTCTCAAGTTAACACTATGTCAAGTAGTGCATACCAATCGCTTATGATAGAATATTTTATATCAACGAATCCTATGCTTATTTTATCATTACTCTTTATATAGCTACAACTAAATGAATTGAAAACATTAATGATCCTGATATATCTCAGTTGAATCAATAAGCATTTGTGTATTACGTAATAGTGAAATCCTCTGCTTGATTTTTCACTCTTTCGCAGAATTAATTAGCCGGAATATCTATGCCATAGAGCTAAGTTTTTGTAATTCTTTAGTACTTTAATGTAATTCATTTTTTTATTTTTATGGAGAGGATGATCAAGAGGAATTTGTAAATTCGTCTCACCTGAAACCGAAGGATGATTACCTTAGAGTAGACACTGTCGGATTGTACATAGAAGTCTTTGATTTTCTTTCCTCCAATCCTGATAAATTTCTGCTTAGATTTCGTCTGTCATTTGGCAGGCATCTTCAAGGCAAGAGGCTATAATAGTACGCTAGGAAGCTCTATTCTCTCGGTTTAGTATATTGGTGGCTTTTTGTAAACTTTAGAAGTAGCTTGACCTTGTTTTTGCAATTTGGTCATATTGGTAGAAATACTTAGAGGATCGCACCTAGTCCGGAGTGCATTGTATGCATGATACTTTCCAGAGTCGGACCGTGGACATGGTACATTCCCACACGGTTCGCCGGCAAGACAAGACTTATCTCATTGACCAATGTAGTGCAGTGCTAAGAATTACAAGATTCACTGACGATGCCGACTACGATGCCCGTGAAACATCTTTGAATATACTACGTCCACCAAGTTGCGAAAGCAAGGTCAAACTATTTCTATACAATGAAAGGAGACTGCGACCACACAAAAGGCCACACCATCTTAGTCTTCATACTTTCGTAAACTTTGTTTTTGCTCTCTGACGATGTATGTTACATGACAGGTTAAAGCTCAAAAATTATTCACCGGGGTCGCAAAACAGTAAGCTGGGATCCTATTCGCACAATCTACCATTCTATTTCTTTGCTTTCTTATGAGTCCAATTTACGAACCCAACTTTCCCTCGAAATGATAATTCGATTCAAATTTACCACAATTTCTTATTGGACTTATTAATCTTTCATACAATCTTTTCAAGTAATTGCTTCGAATGTCTGATCTGACGAATATACTCTATCTTCCTTGACGTGCTCTTTTTTGATTATTTTGCATGCTGTTCATTCATTTTAGCTCCATACTAGGTTTACTACATTTTTCATGGCCCTGTAGACGTGATCGGAACTTTCTGCCATTTTTTTATCGATCTTTGTACTATGGCTCATAGGACAACGTTAAAGGTCTATTGTGCAACTGATGATACGTACTAAAGGCAGTCCGATTTTGTGATCCATCATATTTTAAGGGTAGAAGCCCTCAAGTCTTTTTATATTAAAATGAAGCAAGAGGTCTATTTAGTTAAATCAAAGCACACTAATTCTTCTATTGTTAGATGTCTGACTTAGTTATTTGATTTAGTTATGCACATATGAGACATCATCCCCTCTCAATTACCCATGTTTATTGTTGGGGAGACCTTCATTTCATCTGAAAGTGCATAAAAAGAGATTCGTAGGTTGATCTCACCAGAAGACAACGGCTGAATCCCGCTGTACGGCAGCCGTTTGGCTTTAATACGACGTTCATGTTGACGCAGCCCACGATACATCCTCCTTCGATTCAGGTGAAAACAAGCTGAGCTTTCGTCAATCATATAATGAACATCTTTAGAGCTGGAACTTATTCTTGTAAAAGAATCAATAGTCTTCTTGACCTAACGTTAGTGTGGGACTTGCAAGGATGAGTTCCAGCTCTGATGATATTCATCATATGATGGACGAAAGCTCCGTCCGTCTTGATCCGAACCGAGGTAGGGTGTCTCGTGGACTGCATCAACCTGAACATCGTATTAGATCCAAACGACTGAAGTATAGAGGACTTCAGCCTTCGTCTTCTTTTGAGATCAAGCCATGAATCTCTTATTCATGCACTTTTATGCGAAACGTAGGTCTACCCAACAATGTTATCTTATGGATTCATCAAAACCTAGCTTATCTTTGTAGCTACCCCTGTTTAGCCTGAACTGATAAAATATATTCATTTCGACTATTTATTTAACCCAGGCCCTTAATAAGAGGGCTTGTATCTACTTTGTAATCGTTGTTTAGGTTTCGACCTTATGGCCTAACCTTGCCCTTTAATCAAATGAACATAATGGTCCACTAGATAGCCAGCCAATGGTATATGTCCGGCCAAATGATCAAAGAACAGTTGCTTCAATGTCTACATTTGCTTTAAAACTTGTTTATTGCTGATTCTACAGGAGTCAGGAACATTATTTTGTTTGTCGTGTAGTCTGTTCGGCATTGTATTCGTTTGACAGGCTGTTTATAACCTAACTTCATCAATATGAGTCTTTATGCTCAAATGTTCAGTCCACTTTTTCATTGCTTGTTTTGGTCTTCATTTGTTAAGAAATTATACGCCAAATAAGTGATACATGTAGAAACAATGTGCTTGAACAGTCTTCTTCCGTATCTTTTGCTTCGGAATTCTCTCAACGAAATAAACTTTAAGCGTATTGGACACTTTTTCGAATTCATGACGTACTTTTGATTTCGTTTTGGCAAACATACCAGTTAATTCCGCCGGGAATCATTTTTTGAACCTTGCTCTGTCTTTCAAAAGTGCTTTATCGAAAATTTCTGCTTAATACCTTTTTGGGCAATCTCCTACTAGACTTTTATAAACAGACTGATTCAATTGGGTTGATATATCCAGCTGAAACGTCTACATCAGGTCCTGAGCATGCCTAGAGATTGCCACAAGTTTGGTTGACAGTCGAGCTTTATTTGAGATCTTTTAGTTCGAATCCCGCTTATAAATCATCTCTAGTGGCTGTCCTACTTACAATTATTTGGTGCGACATATATGGACCCCACTTCGAGCACAGGGTTTTCATTTCTTGAAGCCAAAACAGCTGGACGGCCGAAAGGCTCTAATTGCTGCTGATACTTGAAAGTAGACTTAAGATTATCACTTTATCAAGTGGAATATTATCACTAATCTTTATTTATATAGCTTAGTGTACAACAGCATTTATTACTATTTATGTAAGCGTAAAAGCTGGGTTTCGAAGAACTTCCTCCTAATTTAGTGTGATTCAACATTTTGTTCGAAGGAAACGTTTGTCAGAACGGATAAGTAAATTGGCTTCACCCGAAATTAGGGAAGGATTGGTGTTGGAACCCAGTTATTCTACATACTTATGGGAAGATTATCTTTGACTTTATTTGTGATCTCTTCGAATATGTCATTGGCACACGATACTGCAGCCCTTATGAATTCGCATTTATTTCTCGTCTGTCATAAGGCAGGCATCATCAGAACCATAAACCATTATTTATGGAAAAAAAATCCTGGTTGCATATCAAGCGGGCTCGGAACAACTGATTTTCGATGTTAACATATTTCGAAACTCATCCATTTTCGAATAAGATCTTAATCACTCTAGGCTGCTCGAGGTAACTTTGGGACTAATAGTGGATTCCCACAATTCTATGAATGGTGTCGTTGATTGTCACCTAACCTTGTTTTCCAAAAGGCTCTCTTAATTTTTCATAATGATAACATTCTGCCTCTCAATGCATTTAGCTAGGTTATAATCCAGGCTGCAAGTTCAGCTTATCATGCATGATAGGGCCTATTCGGAATCTAGGTGGCTTTTATTAACATTTTTGAGTGGCCCAGCTTAACGGAAACGCATAACTATGTATCATTCATCTAGACTACTCGAATAAGACAATAGATAAACTTTGAACCTAATCAAAACAAGTAGTACCACAACATTTGTGGGTTGGCAGACAAGAGACTAAGGCATAGGAAGTCAGACTTGGTATTACTTATAGAAACATGATAGACGCGGTGGTGACCAGGGCTAGTTGGCTGACAGTAGACCTCTTTTACCACAGACGTGGTTCATGAGGAAAAGGCTTGACCATGAGAATTACTCAGGGGCTTTAGCCTCAATTTAGTCTCCCAGATTCAGAGTGCGGGAAATAACGCCTCGAATAGCACAGATTGGGTGGCAGGGGTCGAGTTAGATACTTGAACCAGAGAGATAGCAAACGGATCCTCTGGGGCAAGGGAGAGACTCTGATAAGACCTATGGAAGGAGGACTGTGTAAGAATAGGGCAGACATTGATCAACTTTCTCAACACAAGAGTGAAGGGGGCTGAGAAAGCCAGAGTGAAGCGTGGAGAGTTCTCATGAAATTCGCTCAAAATGGAACACCATATCACATTTAAAT